ACAGCTATAAAAAAAATTTAAAAAAAATTTCATTAATTTAAATTAATATATAAATTTATTTTATGATTATCCGTCAATTGAAAAAATTTATGACAGATTAACTATATATATATAATCATAAAATAATTTTATATATTGATCTAAATTAATAAAATGAAATATTAAATAATTTTTAACTTTTTTAAAAATTTATAGATTTAATCTATGTAAATGGATCTCTTGTCTCTCTCTCTCTATATATATATATATGGTCTGTTTGTCCGATCTCTATTTAGTCTTATTTATATTATATGTCAATTTATTTTATAAATGTGTTTATATTCATGCCATTAATAAGAGGAATGAGTAGTTATGTGTAGTAAGTATGAAAATAAAAAAAATTACTCAATTTTTATTCTATCAAATGATATGAGTGTGTGTGTATTTTGTGTATTTTTGTGTGTCTTTTTCAACAAATTGGTATTAAGAACTTGTTGATTGTGAGAGACTTATGGGTGGTGTGTGTTAAAGTCACTAGGTTGCAAGACGTTCTATTGTGAGAGAAGCTTTTAATGAGTTTATATTATTTGTGTGTGGATACTTTTACTTCCTTATGTATGTTGTTGGAAGAGTGAATTATCATTGGTTCTTATGGGGTTTTCCTTGCCAACTTAACTTATTTTTTTTATGACAAACACTTTGAGTAATGATGTATGAAGATTGATGTTATTTTTTATTTCCAAGAAGTGTTGGAAATTGTGAGGAACGAGATTCAAGAAGTGGAAGAAGGTTCTATAGAGAAGTAAGAGACAACTTATAGAGAGTCCAAGAAGAAAGATTATAAAACTTTTGTCTTAGATCCATTAATATGTGGATTTCACAAATTTTGAGAAAATTCGCTCAATTAGTTCGAAAAAAGAAGCTTTGGATATTTTATATGAAACTTATGGAGGTGTTGATAAAGTGAAGAAGGTGAAATTTCAATCTCTTTGAAGACAATATAAGTTGTTGTCTATGAATGATCAAGTTTACATAATTGATTATTTCAATTGGATTCAAAGCCTTCACTAATTCGATGAAATCTTGTAACGAGAAGTTTACGTACCAATAGATTGTATACAAGTTGCTAACAATGTAAAACTCCCAATTTTCTAAAATTATTAAAAGGGTGTTTCTAATTAATTAAATGAGTTTTATAAAATATTTCAGAGGTTTTTAAATAGTTATGAGAGCTTTTGTTAATAAAGAAGATTTGTGAAGTTATTTTGTTATAGAAAGTATTTGGAGAAAATATATGTTTTTATTATTTATGTAATTAAATGTATTTTGGAAAATATGTGTTTTTATTATAATTGTTTATATATTTTAGTTTATTTATAATTAGGTTGGAAGAAATATGTTTATTTAATATATTATTTATTTATAAATTTTAATATTTGAAGGAAAATAAAATAGAGTTGTGGGTAAAATATTTTATTGAAAGATTAAATGATGTTAAGTATTGAAAAAAGGGTTACAACAAATTTCTTTTTCACGCTTCTCATTTTTATTACCCTTTACGTGTACACTCTGAAGAACGAGAAGGAGAACAAGAGTGTGTGGCTCAACAACCCGCGAGAGCTGTCTCCAAATGTCAAGATTCTTCTCAAACGGAGTAAGTACAAGCTTCTTATTCTCCTCAAGCCTGAAACACCACCACACCACCAACATAAACTAAAACCATCCACAAATCCTTTACTCGAGCAAACAGTCAAACTAGTCCCTCAATTAATGTCAGACATATTAAACACGACAAAAATCACATAGGCATTGTCAAGCTAGTCCTTAAACGCGCGTTCATTGAAGAACCTAAACCCTAACAATCAGATTGCAGAGAACTAACCTCGCTAAGCTACGGCGCCAAATCAGAAAAGCTTGCGTTTCGCTGTCATAAAGCTTGTCGGCAGACATGTGGGGGGTCCACGGCGGGCGGTGGGGGACTCGGAGGCTGGCGGCGTGGAGCGACTCCTCTCGCTTCTGCTGCTTCCTCGTTTCTTTTGGCGTCGCTTCGATGGGAACGGAGGCAGAGTCCCTACAATGAGAGAACGATAAACAATAAAGGAAAAACGTTACGGAGCATTGGCGGAAGGAAGAGGAGAAAGACTGATAGGCTTATGAGGGTGGTGGAGGCGGCGGGGAGGGGGTCGTTGGATTGCTCGATGATGGCATCGATGTCGGAGACTTCGGTGTAGGATTCGAGAACCTTCTTGCGGTAGAAGCAGGACTTTTCCTTGCTCTGTTGGATCATGTGGTTGTGCTGCCTCACGAGGGCACGACCTAGCCCTGTTTTCTGGATCTCGTTCTGCTTCTTTCCCATTGCCTCTACACAGTGTTGCTTCTGTTTCTGTCCGCTATGCTACCATTGTTGATTTTGATTTTAGGGTTTTGGATTTGTATTTTTTGCTGCTGTAACACTAACGAAGAGCTGTCAACGTGGCGGGTTCGAATTATTTGGCCAGTAGAACCAACATATCAGTGTGTTTGATAAGGAGGAGCAACTCAAAAACAAGATCCAATCAGGAAAAAAAAATGTAACAAAAAACTGCATAACAATAATTAAAAATGAAAACCAGCACCAAAATATCTAATAGCAACTCAAATTCAAAACAGTCAAACAATTCAAATCAAATAAAATAAAAGAAAATAAAATCCGCTTCAACAATCAACACAATTACACAAGCACCGGCAACAAAACTCGAAAACAAAATGCAATCAGAAAAAAAAATGCAGCAGAAAATTGCATAACAATAATGGAAAAAAAAGTGTGTATATATGATCATGAGAAGATCATCAACTTTAAGATTTCATGCACTTAAGAAAAGAACACAGCAAATATTAGATAAAAATAAAAAATAAAAAACTACCTTGCGGATATTTCTATATGATTGCATACAAAACCATTACTGATAAACATTACGAAATACTGCATTTTTTTCCGGTAAATGACTCTAGGGAAGTGAGACTGAACTCACAGTAAGAAAAACAAGACCGTGAAAGAATAGAAGCATATTTGCTTCAACAACATGAAAGACAAATCTACAATCTACCCTGAGAAATATAGCATGGGTAAGCAGATGCAGTTGCTTGGCAATCATATTCATCAAAAGGAGAACCACGCCCATATCTTCACTAATTTCAGTCCCAATAACTGATATAAGAGAATTGTAGTAACTTAAAAAGACAACAACCTATTTTTTTAAAATCAAAACCTTTATCAACCCATATAACTTCAAAGATGAAACAAACTTACCAGATCACTTCGCTCAACAACCCGCCAGAGCTGTCTCCAAATGTCAAGATTCTTCTCAAACGGAGTAAGTACAAGCTTCTTATTCTCCTCAAGCCTGAAACACCACCACACCACCAACATAAACTAAAACCATCCACAAATCCTTTACTCGAGCAAACAGTCAAACTAGTCCCTCAATTAATGTCAGACATATTAAACACGACAAAAATCATATAGGCAATCGTCAAGCTAGTCCCTAAACGCACGTTCATTGAAGAACCTAAACCCTAACAATCAGATTGCAGAGAACTAACCTCGCTAAGCTGCGACGCCAAATCAGAAAAGCCTGTGTTTCGCTGTCATGAAGCTCGTCGGTGGACATGTGGGGGTTCCATGGCGGGCGGCGGGGGACTCGGAGGCTGGCGGCGTGGAGCGCCTCCTCTCGCTTCTGCTGCTTCCTCGTTTCTTCCGGCGTCGCTTCGATGGGAACGGAGGCAGAGTCCCTACAATAAGAGAACGATAAACAATAAAGGAAAAACGTTACGGAGCATTGGCGGAAGGAAGAGGAGAAAGACTGACAGGCTTATGAGGGTGGTGGAGGCGGCGGGGAGGGGTTCGTTGGATTGCTCGATGATGGCATCGATGTCGGAGACTTCGGTGTAGGATTCGAGAACCTTCTTGCGGTAGAAGCAGGACTTTTCCTTGCTCTGTTGGATCATGTGGTTGTGCTGCCTCACGAGGGCACGACCTAGCCCTGTTTTCTGGATCTCGTTCTGCTTCTTTCCCATTGCCTCTACACAGTGTTGCTTCTGTTTCTGTCCGCTATGAGTGAAGATCAAATATTTTCAGAACAATTAAAGAGCACAGAAAATTCAAGAAAGATGTTATCTTGAAAGAAGTTTAAGAAAATCAAGATTGTTGAACAATTCTTTGTGGAAGATCAATTTGCACATAAGGTGTACCAATTTTGATATTTAAACTCTTGTTTGAATAGCTGGGTATGCTATGGTATGTTACTCTTTTGAGATAAGGGTATCTTAAGAAAGAGTAAAAAAGAAATCCTGAGGTAGGTTTTCTCAAGTCGATTCTTCAGAACGGCCCGTTCTGAAATCAAAACGGCCCGTTCCGGGATTCATCCGGAACGACCCGTTCTCCCTCCGGAATGACCCGTTCTCCTTCCCAGAATGGCCCGTTCTCCTTCATTTTTTTTTCTACGTTACATGTGGGATATCACCTTGAAGATTCACATTCTTCAACTAGTATCAAGGTAATGGGGGGAATGAGTAATCTCGCTCTTGAACGTAAAATAATTGTTGGATAAGGGATTGGTCCTTCCAATCTCTTATTGTGATGTATTTTTGTCTTCCACATCACTCTTTAACTCTTTAATTAATGTTATTAAAATATATGTATGACTAATTTTGTGTATTGAATTAATCTTGTGACTCTTGGATTGCTCATGAGTTTTTGTCGAAACCCTAAAGGAATGCATTTTTGGTAATTGTATGAGAAGTGAATATGAGTATGTAATTATGTGTGTTATACATGATGTTTGAATTATAATCTATAATAATTTTGTGTAATTTAAATTGTTTGGGAATATGTTAGTGCTTGTAGTTCCTGTAGGAAACCCTTGATTTATAAAACAACGCGAAGATTAATGTTAATTGTATGAATAATTGAAACTAATGTTGTACTCGAGTGATTGATGGTATAACATAGTAGTTTTAGGCTTTAATCTATGTTTCTACCAATTGGATTGTGAGAAGTTAGTTTGAGTGTAAGTTGTGTTTCGTTATGAAAATTTTGGTATAAACATACCTTGATATTTGTTTTATTTGTCTGTGTGTGATTAACTAAATTGAGTTCCAATTTTTGGATTAGAAATTACACATTTGGGGCTATAGATTAGACTCAAGAATCACATAAAAATATTAAGGAATGACCAAATTATATGATTTAAAAGATGAACCTCATGTTTTGTAGGCGAAATGTAACATGCATACATTGTAAGATTTTTGAGGAGTCTTAAACAACAAAATTAGGTTTTGTAAGCTTTATTATAGTTTTATCCCACGATATTATATTTATAATGTCGTTAGAATCCCTAATAAAGGAGGTCTAGAACTCAAGTTATGATTGAATTAATGAGCGAAGGTCAGACTATTAGATTTAGGTTAAAACATATTTTTGTAATTTTTAAAAATAGTATATGGTAGAATTAACTCTTGAGATCAAGATAAAAGTTATAGATAATTGTATTAGCTTTCTAACCAAATTAAGGTTAACTTGATAGCATGTATATAGCTCAAGATATTGTGTTTGGACCACCTGAGGTCATAGGGAATTAAGTTATGGATATGCAATTTGTGAATGGTGATGATGAATGACTTTACTCTTTAAGTGTTTGATCTTATGAATGGTTTGAGATACCTATATTAATGTTTAAGAAAGAGAAATCATGAGATAGAATGATTATGAATAAGTTATAATATGAGTTGAAGTGCTTTGGTAATAACGATGTCTAAGGAATTAATGTGTAGTATCAATAACATTGCTAAACTAGTTAAGTTATTAATGTAAATACTTAATTTGACGATGAACTCTTAGTGATTATGGATGAGGTATTAATATGTGGTTAGATGATTTCATAATGATTCTATCTTGAGGTGTATCGGGTGAAATTGTGTAAATGTGTGTTTGAACTATGAACATGTGACTCTTGTATGATATAATGTGTTGTTTGTGTTGGTTACCTTGTCCAAGAAATAATTCTTGTGCTAATTTATGCATATAATTAAGTATTATGATTGAATATGAAATCATGATGTTATGGTGAATGAATGCTACAAATGATATGATGTCAAAAATCGTTGTGATATTGACAAATCAATTGTAAATGGAAAATTGTTGTTGGCATAAAAATTGATAACATGATATTACATTGACTCTCATGTAAACATGCACATGTGTATATCTGAAAACCTTTGTGTGTGAATCCTGTGAGTGTCATGCAAATTGACAAATCAACAAATCGAAAAATCGATACATATATATTTATACAAATGTTTAATTAGCGCCATACACATGAAAATCATGGTTTGTGTCCATTTCATTATGCATATGAATGTAATTTGTGTGATGAGTTATGTAATGAATGATATTGTTAATTATGAATGATTTTATTATACTTGTTATTGTATTGACTGTATACATACATACATACATATATATGATGTTATGTTATTCTTGAGTGTGTTTGGCTATCCAATATTTATTTTACACCGTGAGCCAAAGTGAGATATTTTCTATATGTATGTTATTATAGGTGAGGTTCATTAAGATGTTAATGATGCTGGTGATGAGACTTAGTCCTTGTGTGGGAGTACTTTGATAGGATATGTAACATCAGGGCAAAGATAAGATTTGTTATTTTGTTGTTTAATTTTTCCTTAGGACATGATGTTAGACCATTTGGTTATGTTTTTATTTTGAAGTTTAATTGGAGTTTTGACTTATGAGTTAGTTATGTGATATCCTCTACTAGATTTGATATTATTAAGTTCATTACTTATGCATTAATTCAGTTTTGATTTAAGCATTTCTTATTTATACTCAATGGATCATGTGAGGTAAAGGGTGTTGTCACATAGAACATTGACTTCTTGTTTTGATCATATTGTCGCAACAATTGTGGAATCCAAAGATCTTGAGACGATGAAGGTTGAAGATTTGTAGAATTCCCTTAAATCTCATAAATAGAGGCTAAATGAGAGGAGAAACAGTGAAAAGATTCAAGAACAAAACTTGCTTGCTCAAACCAACTATAAGAAGGAAGGTGCAAGTGGTTAGAACAAGAAAGGAAAGGCAAGTGGAAAGGTGGAAAGAATGGTGGAGCTGGTGACTCATCAAATGATCAAGATTAGCGTTAGACTAAACTTGGTCAAGTTGAGTTTTCAAATAGACAACAAGGTGGTCCAGTTGAAATATTTTGGGAAAATTAGTTTGATAAGAAGAAAATCCAGTGTTATAGTTGTAAAATTGGGGGCATTTTGCAAAAGAATGCAAAAGTGCCAAAAGAGGAAAGGGAAAATTTGATGGTGAAACATATCTTGCTCAAGACAAAGGGTTAGATTTCAATCAAGTGTTGTTGTTGGTAACTACAAATTCTGGAGGTGATAACTTTTAAGTCTTGGTATCTTGATGCGAATTATTCAAATCATATGATAAAGCATAGAGATTGGTTACTTGATTTTGATGCAAACGCTAGGAATAATGTGAATTTTGAAGATAACAATACCATTATAGCAAAGCGAATGAGAAAGGTTATGACCAAGAGAAGGATGTAAATATTGCATATGTGACTAGTGTTTTGTATGTTTAATCAATGAAAACCAGGTTACTTAATTTGGGATAGTTTCTAAAGAAGGGCTTTTCAATGAGTTTGAAGGAAAATCCTATAGAGATATTTGATTCAAAACAAAGATTGATGTTAAAGAATTCTTTATCAAAGAATAAAACTTTCAAAGTAAATATGAATACGATAGAGGTGTAGTGTCTGTTAACCACAAATACCGAGGACAAAAGGTGATTATGGAATTATAGATTTGGGTACTTGAATTTTAAAAGTCGAAATCAACTTAGAGCGAAGCAAATTGTGGTTGAGATGGATTCCATAAAACCATAATAGAACAAGTTTGTTAAGGGTGTCTTGTGAGTAAGCAATCGAGGAAAACTTTCAAGTCTTGTGTATCTTCCCGTTTAAGACAATCACTGGAAATGGTATATTCAAATGTATGTGGCTCGATTGAGACTCCACCATTGGGAGGTAACAAATATTTCATGACTTTTGTGGATGAAGTCACTAAAGAGGTATGGTTGTATTTGATTAAAGAAAAGATTGATATGTTTTTTGTATTTATGAAATTTTGTGCACTAGTTGAAAGGCAAAGTGTCCATAAATTAAAAATTCTAAGAAAAGATGGAGGTGGAGAATATAGCTCTAAAAAGCTTCATAATTTTTGTTAAAGGAATGGTATTGATCACGAGGTGCTTGCTCCCTATACCCCTCAACATAATGGATTGGTTGTAAAGAGGAATAGAACTCTACTTGATACAGTAAGGTGTATGTGTTCGGTGCCGTACCCGATCAAATTTAATACGAAATTTGTAGTACTAGGAAGTGACTCCTAGGTCGTCTCTTAAGGAGCAACAATGCCAATCTGAGGTTCATGTAATACAAACAAACAAACACACAATATAGGGGGGTTTTTAGATTCAAATGAACAAAAACGTCAACAGCAATCAATAAAATAGTACACTTTCCAACTCAGTCATCACACACACATAATTGGTTCAAAATATTATCTTCAATCATTTTAAACCTTTGTTCAATTTCTAGTAATCACTAAACGTCATTACTCTTGTTTTGAACGCATACAAATGAAGCATTAGCATACATCATTTCTCTGTTTCACGGGATTAAGCAAACTGTGAACAAAACATTCAATCTAGATGAACAAATACCATTAAGCATGGAAAATACAAGGGTTAGAACATGAAGATGCAGTGAAATGAACAGACCTCAATAAGCATTAAACTGAGTTATAAAGTGTCACAAGTTTAGGCTTCCATGGAGGAAGACAAAGAAGAAAACAAAGAGAGAAATGGAAGAAGAAAATGAAAAATGAGTAATCTGTATTCTCAATACAACTAGAGAAGAAAAACGTGAAGAAAGACTTCCAGAACAGGGAAAACGTAAGAGAAGAAGGAGAGAAATGTGGTCACA